TCTGCATTAGTCTCATCACAACTAGAATATTGCATCCTAGACACCTCATTTTAGGAAGGACATTGACAAACTAGAGAATTTCTAGAGGACTATGGTGATAAGGGGCCTGGAAAGAAAAAAATTATGAGGAACAATTGGAAGTGTTGGATATCTGGAGCCTGAAGAATACTGCAAGGATACATGATAGCTTTCTTCAAGTAGCTGTAGAAGATGGGGCAAAGAGGTTCAGTTGCTGCAGAACACAGGACAAGAAACAATAGGCTTAAATTATGAGGAAGTAGATTTTGGTTGGACTTCAAGAATAATTTCCTAATCGTGAGAGCTGTTCAACCATGGAATAGACTGGAGGTGGTGGACTTTCCTGTGAGGTTAGATGGCCGCATGGCAGAAGTGCTGTACTAATGGATTCCTGAATTGGGCAGGAATCAGGCTAGATCATCTCCGAGGTCTCCCAAACCTTACATTCTATGTTGGATGGAGGAAGCTGGAACATTTGGTGTTGCTTATGAACAATTTGTGTTCTTTGCAACGGTGATGATCAGCTGCATCTCAGTTTGGACTCCTCCAGCACTCAGGAGTCATTAGAAATGTAACCTTGACAACACGTTCCTTTTATTTGAGATTCTTTTCAGTAGAAGTTGAGGATGTGGACAAGGTGTGTGGAGAGATTAAAACTGCCACTTTGTTCAAACTTTGCCCCTTCTGGCTGATTAAATTTCCCAGGGCAGGACATGATTGAGGGAATCGATGCCTCCTGATGGGAGGGATGTTTTCTCCTTGCCTAAAAGAGGCAATAATAAGCCCATTACTGAAGATGCCCTTCCTTGACCAAGAAGATTCATACAATTATAGCTTGGTCTTGTTTCAGTTCTGAAAAAGATGGTTGAGAAAACAATAACCTTATGGCTCCAACATGGATACATTTTTCCTGGGCTTTTGTCTGAGATATGCACTGAAACTGGTCAGAGGTGACCATGGAATTTGCAACAATGGGATTCAAGGGCTATATTCACTTCCAAGGCCTCAAGTTACCTCTCCATGTTGTAAAGTTCTAGTATGGGTATAGATAGTCCCCAGTGCTATTAGAACTGAATAAGAATCTATTCATCACCTCAGGAAATTGAAAACTTTATCATATATTGTGTATTGTGTTAGTTGCATATCACTTATGACTCACAGAAGGGGAAACATAGTGAATTGTGGAGTCCTTGGTGTTCTCTGAGCTTGGTTGTTTTCTTGCAGATATTTTGTTCCCCATCTAGGTAACATCTTCAGCAGGTAGACTGCAAGAAAACAACCAAGCTCAGAGAACCCCAAGGACTCCAGTTCAATCCTGAGCTACATATATTCTCTTCTATTGGTACATAGTAAATTGTGAATAAGTGAATAGGAGAAAATTCCTTATATGACAAAAAAGAACCTAGAAAGATCAGAAGCAGAAGGTAACTTGGGAATGAGGTTTCTACTAGAAATAGCAGGCTAAGGGCTTTCCCTCACTTGCATCTTAAGACTTGAATTAACATATTTATTCTGCCATGTCTCTGTGTTATTGCCTTCATCTTATCCTCAGCCCCCATAAGATACAGTACCGTCTGTGCTGAAGCAGTGTTTTTCTCTTTAGATGATAGGCAACCGATGGCCACTTCTGACGGAGCATGATCTGCCATGTATTGACCCCCCGACTAACAGTTTAGTGTGGTCGCGAAAGCTGCTGAAAGTGGTAGGTTTGAAAGATGGCAAAATGTGGGGTCTAGCTATCTATTAAAACCATCTGCCAATCACAGGGGATAGGACAGCAAATTTTATATCAATATAGTTTTCTGCCAGCTTATGGATAAGTGGATAGCACTTTAATTGAGTTATGGGGTAAAATCTTAAGGTTTGTGAGCAGCTTATATAATTTTGTAACAAAATTGTAACAAAATTATTGGTGTTCAGCTCAAAGTCTCAGGCCTTTTTATAAAGATCAGTTTGACAAAGAGACTTTATGACGTTCTAGCTGCTAATATTGAAAACAGTTGGAACTCCTGTGTGTGCTTTTTGTGTGTGATGAGAAGTAGGAACAAACCTTTTCCTAACAACGCTTTCTAATATGCTCCATCCATCCGAGGGCTATTTTTAATAAGCCTCACAAACTAATACAGTAGCTTCTACGAGGGAAACCAGTCTACAAGATGGTGGTGGGCATAGCACTGTGATCCAAATCCCACCCATTTTGTATCTGTCTCTTAGACTGCAACACTGCACTCACCATCCTGCAAATTTTGATACACACACACACACACACACACACACTCCTTGGACATTCCTGAGGTAATATAAGGCTTGTGATACAAGAGTGGTGGTGCAGAAAACTGAAGCCTCTTGCTCAACTTAGTAAACTCCCACCTTAGTAAAATAATACTTAAAGGGCTGGTCTGTTTCTCTACAATTAGAGGGACAAAACATTGAATTGGAAATCTTCATTAATCTAGATCAGTTTTCTTTAATTTGCTGCCTTCCAGATGCACTGGATTTGACTCAAATTCCCAAACAGCAAAGTTTTAGAAAGAAGGTGAGGTTAGATTTGTGCTACAAACATCAAGACCCTAACAGAATTATGTGTTCTTTACTGACATGTTGGACTGTGGCCAATGTTAATAAGTGGATCCCAGGACATTCCACAGACCACTGAAAGCTTGAGAATGAACTGAAGCTATGTTATTTTCTTACCTTTAAATTGGAGTACTTTTGGCTTAGTGAGAAAGTCATGAATCTTTTTTGGTCCGATGATAACATTGTTTCCAGGAAGCATGATAAGAGTGGACATGTTCCCCCCATTCCTGAACTATTTTCCTGGCCATCAAGATGCCCAACACCCATGCTCCATTCATATACTGAAGCTGAGTGAGCCTTCCTTGTCCTTCTCATCTTAGAAAAAGTGAACAGAGAGTGAAAACAAACTGCTACCTCTCAAGATGTAGTCAGGGGGAAAGACATGGACAAGTGAAATTATATTTGGGAGCTAATCTCCTACTTTCTCTCCATTCTCTGAAAGGGTGCAGCACTGGGAGAAGAGAGAAACCTCAAAAAGGGCACCTACAGGCCAGATGAGAAGGGGCCAGAAAGTCCCTATATGTCTAGCCACAATGGAAGAAGATTGCTCTTCCATTGCCAAGCCCCAAAGCTTTATTGAGTCAAGCAGCAGTAAACAGCCTTGAAATTTGAAATTTGCAAACCATCCCCATAATTTATAATCCTTCACTCTCATTCCCCAAGGCAGAAACAACCTATCAGCAAACATCAACACAAGAAGAAGGGACCCCTGGCACTTAGCAAGGAAATGTAAAATGCAAAAGAATTTGGGGTAAGAAACAGCAATGAGGTGTTTGAATAACTCTAGCTCTGCCAGCCACTGCTCATTGCCTCTGATTGAGGTGAACTGAAATTCCAGATTCAGGCTGTGAAGCGGCAGGGAAGGCAGAAATTAAATAAGTCAGACATTTTTAATAACAATTTCAAGCAACTGGCTGCCAGTGGCAGCCTCTTCCTATGGAAATGTGCAGCCTGAGGTAAAGTTACCACTTTTGGGCTGCACTATTTGCATTTAATGACAAATCCTTTCAAAAATTCTCACTTTACCATAGCATCAAGGCCCCAAGGAGTCTCATATTTCAGAGAAATTAATTCAAAAATGGTAACAAGCTCAAGATTAAAAACAACATGAGACAGAAGTTCCTGGGCATATGAACTATTTTGTTAGTTTAAAGTGAAAGGAGGGACTAAAGAAAGCAGCCAACGGGCAGGGATATTGGTCCAGGAAAGGAGAACAGAAGCTTGGACTGGGTCAGTTCTCTTGTACAGATGGACAGCAAGAGCTCGAGATTAAATAAATGGCCATGTGTCCCATTTTACAGGGGAAAAAAAATCCATTTAAAAGCATTCTCAAGCTGAAGAGCTGCCAGCCAACATGATAAAGGACCAAAAGAAAGAACAGTAGGGGTTTTGAAGTTATCCTTCAACAGTATCTGGAGAGCAGACTAAACAAGCATGTAGATCACTTCTGAATTTATCCCTACTATATGGAAATGTATTGTATTTCTATTTAAATTATATTATTTGCCTCTATATATGCATATGCATATGCATAAAACAGAATGTGCAAATCTTGCCATGTTATGCCCTCTTTTAAGTTATGTATTTGCTTTTATTGGAGCTCTAGATTTTAGGGATGATTAAGTACAGGAAGTTCTGCATCATGCCTCCTTCAAATTGTCAGCTGTGAAATTCCATTTTAAGAGAGTATATGAACAATTAACATATAGTGCCAAGTATAAAAAAATAAGACTCTCTTTAATTAAATATGTTTTCATAGCAGTTAGAGGTTAGAGTGGCAAGCCTGCACATAAGCTCAAGGCTAATTCCAGAAATTGTCTAATCAAAAGCTTTTATATTTGAGTTTCCCCTCCACAAAAATGGAGAAACAATCAAGGAAGAATTAAGTACCTGTGTCCCTGCTGCGATCAAATGTAGTCCCTCCAGCTGCATTCCAGTAAAAAAATTTTTGTTGGGGACAACTTTGGTATCTCATTCCATTTAGTTCACAGCTACTGCAGATGTAAAGTTTATCTCATCTCCTGGTCCCACAGTAGAACAAACTCTAGCTATTTTTGAGTAATCTCATCAATAATGCAATAAAGGATTGCCCTCAGAAACGCCTCACTTCATTTTATAAACTAAATATTCTGTACTGTGATATATATCTTCACTGCTGTCAGTTTTAACAGCTAACATTGTGTGGAGGAGTCATCTAGTGCTCTAGAGAATGTATGCCAAGGTAATATGGGGATAAATTATTATTACAGTATGTGTTTAATAATCATTATGTAGGAGAAATATCCTACACTGCAACTTAAATTCCTCAAGCTATGTCTCTCTTAGTAAGTAAATCTTTACCTGGTTAAGTTTCAACTATTTTTTTTCCAGTCCTTCTAGTCTTAATCTCAGACTTCAACTGTAAATGCAAGTCATCAACATTTTATTAATATCCATGGCTGAAAATGTACAAGAGAAAGATAGAAAGGAGCCTGTTTGGGTGGGAAAGAACCCCATCCTCATATGTGGCCCCCATGTGTTCCCCATCATGTGTGAGAAAGAAACTTCAGGCTTCATCACAAAGCACCCAATGTTAGCAGTACAAAGCATTTACATACAAGGGACAGTATGCTTCCCCAGGATGTAACTCAGGATCAATATGGAGCTTCTGAAAATCAGCTTCAGCCATAGTGAGATTTCCAAAGATTTACACCATATTTTCGTGCTATGAGAGCAATTAGTACTGCAGCCTTCCTGCTTAGCTACGGGCCTCAACAGACTTATCTCTACATAAAGTAAGGAGAGCATTATCTGAAATTAGAGAAGCCCACTGAACTCCTTCCACAATTACAATATGGAAAGATTCTGATGTAAGGCAGTGTATACAATTGCAGTTCTTTTTTTCCAGATATACTTAGCTGGGAAATATAGTGGCAAGTATGGCTGCATCCTGTTTCCTGGAAAAGGAGCAACCTCCAATAGCATCCAGCCAAACTTCAGCAACTGTTGCTGTTAACAAAGGACCCTGAATCCAGAAAGGATGGTTTGATATATTTGAAAATTATCTCTGGCAGGCACAAATTAAAGAGATGCTTTGAGATATATAAATTTCAGAAGGTTTGCTGAGAGGATTCCCAATTCCCTAGTTCCATTAGGTCAGAAATGCCAGAAGATAAAACCCACACAAGATTGCTAACTTTCATCAAAATTAAAACTGGTTATTGGAAGGACCATGTTTAAAACTTCCCGACTAACTAGATAGCAGCATCCATCTGGCTCTTCCCTATGGGCAGCTGATGTACTTAAAGGCAGGAAAATGTGACCACAGGCCTAATTCAGAAAGGACAGCAGCATCGAGGAGAAATTTGCAGCTCCAGGAGGAGGAGGATTCTCCTGCACTCTTCTCCATGCTAACTCTCTTGGTCCCTTAGACCTGTCTTCTGTTGGGCTGCTTCCTCCTTTCTTTTCATGACCTCCAGAACAGCCAGTTCCTTTGCTTCTTTCTTCTGATTCCGAGCTTCAAATTCCAGCCTACAACAACCAAGAGATCCATAATTATATGGAGATTTAATTCCACTGCACTTTTCAAAATGCTGGGGAACTCTGGTGTCCTCCTATGCTTGCTCTGAGCTGTTTCTGAGAATTTTCTTCTATAAATCAGGTGTACGGTATTCAGAAAGCAGGCAAGGGTGCTTCAGATCCATTCCTGGGTGGTACAGTGGCCCCAGGAAAAGTATGGCTCTTTAAGAAACAGCTGATCAATACAGAGAGGGTGCCTGTGCTGATCCAAAGCTCCCTTTCCTATTTCAAATCCAAACATTGAGTAATTAAGTTATGGAAATTACCATGCCTTCTTCCTAATTTGTGAAATGTATTCTAGTTGCAATATTGGTTATTTTTAGGGAACTCAAAGTACAGTATACTAAATACAGGCAGCACTGGTGTTCTATGATCTATAGATTAAGGTAGGCCTGAAACTATAGGAAAATTTTGAGCATTCACATGGTACTGTAAACTACAGATATATCTTCGGAACTGCAATTGTTTAACTATAGATTGGGATGGGCAATCCATGGTTTGTGGGCTGCATATGACTCCCAAAATGCATTTTTGCAGTCCTCAAAACCAAGCTGTAAAGTTCAGTAGCAAAACATTCAGAGGTGCCTGCATGGTTTTCTATTGTTTAAGGATTACTTTAATATACTTTAATGTTTTAAGTAACTGTTTAAAGACTGCCCCCACTCCCACCTCAGTGCAAAGACAACTAGAAAAATGTAACAACGCCCACTGCAGCTCTCAATTCTATGTAGGTTCTTCCTTCTTTCTTCTGTAAATTATTATTTTGTGGGTAATATAGCTGGCTTAGTGCAGGGTCATAAAAAGATAGGTCGAGTGAATGAAGAGTTTATAACAGCAGAATCAAGGCCCTATCATACCATACACAAAATTAGTCAGTCACGAGCAACTAACCTGTTCTTAATTATTCTTTTCACTATCAGATCGGTGGTAAGATTGTTGCCACTGTCTACCAGCTGGAAAATACCACGTCTCTTGGGTTCCTGTAGATACAGAGAATAGAATGAATGAAATGAGAAATGCGAACAAAGTCTATTTACAGCAGAAGTGTTGGCCAAGGGTCACACTTAATATTGACCGTGGGGCTGCAGCTGGCAGAGCAATTATGCAAATTGGTGGGTTAGGAGGATTCTCTTGGATTTGGTGGGGGGGGGTATTATTTTATTTCTCTTCTTTTTGCCAACTACCTTAAAGACTTTATAGGACTTGTGCTGTGCTATCTCAACATGGAATAAATTATGCCATCAGTTTTCAGGAATTGTGATAAGTCATAACTCCAGAATGCCCCATCCAAGTCAAGGATGTTCAAGAGCCAAATACAGCCTTAGTGCTTTTGATGTCACCCCTGGTTTACAGACATTCTCAGGAAGACAGCATTGATTCTTATCAAAATAGGTTGAAAAAGCTCCATGGGTACGTACTGTATATAATAGTACAGAAAGAGTTGCTAGAACAACTAGAATTGGAAAAAGAAAGAACTCTGCAGTTTAGCGCAGCAATAAGACAATTTACAACTGGCCACAAAGTTGAAAGCTCAAACTTCACAAACTACTTATGCTATGCTCTTACTGTCCATTTGGCCACAGAATAATTTAAAAATGCCTGAAAGAAATTTGTTTCCATATCATGTATTGTGACCTGAGGTCCAGATAAGGAAAAAATAGATTTCCATAATTCTTACCTCATACGGGTCTGATCCATCCTTGTCAGGTACCACCTCAGTCATCCCATGGCACACAAGATCCACCTACACATAAAGAAAATCTATCACCATCTCCTTAAGCCTTTCTTAGTCTGGAGTGTAATATCTCAAGAATGGATTCATCCCATGTATGTTGTGCCACACTACAGCAGGCACAACTCACCTACGTGATATAGGCAATATACATCCATTATTGAAGCCATTATATATTGGTAAATGCTCTTAAGTGTGTGTCTTTCCAACTGTCTTCCAGATGCTGTTGCCTCACCTCATATCTACTGTTAAGGTTATAGTTTTTCAGAGTATCGGAGAAAATGCTTCAGATAGCCTTTCCCACCTTGATGCTCTCCAGATATGTTGAATTGCAACATCCAGAATAATCAGGTAGCTTGATCTACAATTGGCTGGAATTGCTGTAGTCCAGCACATATGGAGGCTACCAGGTTGGGAAAGGCTGTTGTAGAACAATCAGTGGCTGTACTATTTTTATTTTTGTTTCTGTCTAGCTGGTCATATGTCAAACTAATTTAACCATTTCTTTACTTTTCCAAGCAGTACCTAAGAAAAGCTGAAATTGGGTGCCAAAATCACAACTGGAACTGCTATAACAGACATGTCTAAAATTGTTGATGTGATGGCTGGAAAAGCTAACACAGTACACATAATAAGGAACACTTACCCCCCGTTCCAAGGTCAGGTTTTGAATGGCTGTATATGGTTCCTAAATGTTTTTTTTATTAATTTTCATATTTATGAAATCACAAAGCTTTATTTTGGAGTGATAGAGAGAGGTGCAGAAACTGGTTCACAATCTTGTTTCCTTCCTGCTCTAATGAGTTGCAAAATTACTAATGTGAGATTAGGGGTAAGGTCTCAAAAAAGTTAAAACAGAAGTTACTGCTATTCCTCCCTTGTAATAATTGTCTGAACATTGGCATGGAGCTGGGGTGGGCAAACTCCTAGTCCTTTTTTGCTGGTGGTGGTTTTCCACATGTGAAGGAAAAATGAGCAACAAAACACCTTTTTTTAAAAAAAAACCTAAACCTTCAATAATGGGAAAAGGTAGAGTCAAAAATTCTGGCCCTGCACCCTCTTATGATATCACAGCAGCACTCCATGGCTCTTGTAGGTTAGAACAAAATTACAAGCAAATGAGACACTGAAAACAAAAAGATTACTTTCCCACCCTGCCTAAGAGCACCTGAGATGCCATTTCCACCATTAAGAATATGTTATGATCTATATACCTACAACTACATATATATATATAGAGAGAGAGAGAGAAGTCAGACATCCTCACCTTGAAATGATCCAGCAGATCCGCAGTGACTGAATAGGGAGCTCCAATCACTACTTCAGAAACATACTAAAGGCAAAGAGAAGAGAAAAAAGCCAGCCATAACTACATAGTCCACACATCTACCAATTATTGTTTTAGTTAGTGAATTCTGAAAGTAAGGTTTTAAGAGGAAAATGGAGCATTGAAAGATTCCATTAGGTAATGAGAACTTACTTTTTTGGTATGTACTAATAAAGCTATAGTTCAAAGAAGTAGTAATTGTGGAGCCCTTGGTGTTCTCTGAGTTTGATTGTAGACATTTCATTACCTGACTAGGTAACATAATCAGTGCTAGTGAGTGTGGGGTTTTCCCCCTGTTTATATACAGTATAGGCCCTGCCAGTGTTGGTGGGGGCGTGATTTTCTCCAACCACACCCCCACCAACACTGGCAGGGCAAGCACCAAGGACTCCACAGTCACAACCCTGAGCTACATATAGTCTCTTCTGTTGGAAGTAGTAATTGCAATTTGTATGGTTGTTTGTATCACAAAAAAAAATCACCTACAAGTTCCACCAAAGACAAATAGTCTCTCTTTTACAAAATGTCTAGAAATGCTTGGGTAGCTCCTGACAAAGATTTATGCACCATTATCTCCTATTCCCTATTATCCCAACCTAAGTATTAACTACCAAAATATCATGAACACCATCCTATCATGAATTCATTATTTTTTTTTAAAAAAAATAGGGAGTTTGGAAAACTTTGAAGAACATAATTTCGTTTCTTGGGAAATACTCAGTTTTTAAAAATGTATTTGTTTTACCCTACAGTTCTTCCATGGAACTTAAGGCAATATTCTTAGGTCACTAGATCATCAACCAGGCCCAAGACCTGTTTCACTTCAGGATGGTTAGTTTTATTTGCTGCTTTCACTTCACATCCTAATTAGAAGAGAATGATTCTGGCCAAATACTCACTCTGCAGGCCAAAACGCTGAGGGTTCGCTCGTGGACATTCATTATGGGATAGTTCTTGCCTTTATAGAGATTCACTTCCTGTAATTAAATCATAGCAATTCGCATCAGCATGATGAAATACTCTATTTCCATCTCCCCAGCAGGTGAAGGTGATTAAGTAATCTCCCAACCAAGCCACTACAGAACTGATACTCACTTGGTCAAAGTGCAGCCCAACAATTATATACGGTCGGTTTGCAATTTGATGCACTCTCTCCAGAAAATCCACATGACCTACATCTAATGTATACACATTAAGAAAGCAAACTTCTGGCACTGAATGAAACTAAAATTAATGAGAAGTAGGTATGTTCTTTGCTTTTCACAAGCCCTCTATTTCTTTTCCTAGTAGCTCACAATGGTTGTAGTTTACAAGACTTATAATGACCAGTCAAGGATCATGTTCAGAAATAGTTCTGGAATTGATTGCAGGAACCTTTGCACAACACTATTGGCAAGTGCTTGTCATATTGCAACCTTTAGAATCTACATTCTGGGTTGTTGTTGTTTTTTTAACCTATGCTTAAGCTTGAAATGAATGAACATTCATCCGGCATGCTCTAAAGATTGAGAGGTAAGGCACAAAATGGTGGTTGAATAATGAATAATTACATCAGTCAATGAAAATGTAGGAAGGCAGAAAGAGAGACAGATTTATTCTGCAGGGAAAGGGGGAGATGTGGCAAATTCTGCTTAAAGCATGGCTATTGGAGGATATTATTAGGGGTGAGTCTTCCCACTGGAGGACATAATACAGCTTGAAAAGAGTAGTATTCCATTTTCTTGAGGAAGGCTATATGTGTCACCTTTTTTCATATTAATTTCCTAGATTAAAGTAAAATCTCTTACCACACAAGACCATGCTTGTGTTATAGTTCTTTTGAACTTCAGACAAATCACTAAGAATTCTCAGCTAAAAGTACACTTTACTGTTAGATAAAGAAAAGATACAGTATATTAGCCTAAGTTGCTAGTTGGAAGATCTTGGTTTAGCATTTCTAATAGTAAAAAACAAAACAAAACCTGAAGAACTGGTTAAGATATGGGGTGTAGGCAGTTCCAAAAAAAGACATCAGGACTTCCTAATTTGCTAAAAAAAACTCTTAATTTCATTCCACTCAAAAGGAAACAATTCAGGATACGAAAGAGATCAAAGGCACCAGCCACATAGATTATGGTATCTCCAGGTTGTGGCTCCTTGCCAGATGCAAATTGGATGATCTTCTGAGATGTTTGCAGAAACTGAGAAACTCCGGTCCAGGGACTGTGACCTTTAGGGCACTGGAGAAAGAAGAACAACTTCAATATTTTGGCAGGTATTGAAGTTATTTGCTCAGTTTTCTTCCAATACGATACAATTTGAATTAAATATTTTAGGCAGTAGCAGGTTAAAAAATTAATTCTAATGAATCAACTTCTATATTAACCAACACTGATAAAGATCCAGAAATTGTTACCAAAACAGACCAGTCCAAGTGGATGTATACATTTAGAGATAATAACCACAAAGAATTGGCACCAGTTAAAGGAACATAACTCTCTTCAGAGCAAGATTAAAATAAAACTGAAGTCATGACATTTTTCCTTACCACCAAATATTCAATTAAATGTACTCAAAATGACTGTTTTTCCTATGTTTCTACTTTTATTTCAAATTCCATTGCCCATTACTTGGTTTTATACATACTTTCTTTTAGTTTACACATAACTATAGATGAATTTGAGGGTTTAGTAAATCATAAAGTATAAGCAAAAGCATGATGAAAGATTAGACACAATAATTTTTTTAACGCTTTTCAAGTGAAACAATGAATTCATATAATCAGAAATTCAAATAATGTTCATGGGTACAAAGTGGGCTAGTGCTGATCATGGTCTGGCAATATCATTTATTTTTGACACAAGGAGATCAATATCTATTGCTGCATCGATACTTTAATGCTTACTATAGCAGATTAGAAAAGTGGAAGATAACTTGGCTGCTAAACTCTACTTCTATACCATGATTATCCTCTTGAAACATGACAATAAAGTTATTCAATACAAGGAGCAGAAAGGCAGAGGATTTCATAGAATTAGAATTATGTACACTGATGGAAAATATTTTGCAAAAGGACTGATCACAAGTTCCAACTTTGTTTCAAATGAGAAGGTCAACAATTTATTCCTACGTACACTTGATTTTATTAATTGTAATCACTGACATTCAGAAAATGGTGTACATCTTCATTCAAATTCAAGAAAATCTCTTATGCTAAATAAAACACTATCTCTTGAAAGCCTCAAGAGACTCTGGGAGAATTATTTGGAATCTGAACTCTATGAATCTCATTGGAACTCTTTGTGGCACAGAATTCCTTTTAGATCTGTTACAACAACTCAACAAAAACTGACCCTGAACATTCATAGGAGGCACTCTGCTAAAACTATGTTGTATAAATTGTAAACTTTCTAAATTGTGTTAGAAAGGCTTTAAGCACATTGATACATATTACCATCTCTGACAGCAATACCTAATGAGCAATGTCAACCTTTGTGGTCAAAGGATCTAGAATGATCACTATGCCCTCCACCTCACATCTCCCCCCAGCCCCCTGGGTTCCTCTGTCCCAAGCCCACCTACCCATATCTGCTAACCTCCAACAACACAGCTACCCACCCCAAACACCAACAAGCATCTACCCTTCACATGTTCATGGACTGACTTTTGAAGTTATTCATTTTTTACATATATGCCAATGAAATATAGTAATTGATTCTGCATTTTGTTTTGCTATTTTTAATTAATATTTGATATTTTTATAGCCTGCATTTTAGAAGATTTTACACACCTATATATACCTCCCTCTTCTTTTATTCTGATTACTTTACATATATATTTTTGTACCAACAATAATTTAACATATGCACAATAAGTGCCAGAAACTGCTCAGAGTGGAAAGGAAGATTAGCTCCACCAGGTGGCATTCTTTGGGACTGCTTCTACAACTTAGTAAAACGATCTCATGCACTGTATGCACATTACAACTCTGACGCCAAAGAGCAACTTATCTGTTATATGACATATAAAGCTATACAATTCTCAAATAATTTCTTACATAGTGCTTGTGTATTGTAAAGAAGAGGCCAAATATCGAAGATATTTCAAGTATATCTGGATGCCCTATACAGATGTTCCTTGAACCCTCTGCAAAGCTTGAAACTAGCTATAATGACCCCTAAACAAACTCCTTGATTACAAAACTGCTCTGATATTGATGGTTACAAGTTTGTCTTCTTATAAATGTCCCTAAGTAAAAACAGGAAATAAAGTGATTTTTGTTTTTATGATTCAGATATTTCCATAAATATATTTCCATATATTGGTATCATGAAAATATTTCCATAGATTAGCATCTGCAGGGGAGCGAAGGACAAAACAAGTGTTGCAACACTGCAGTGCAAATTCTATCCCTTTTCAGATTGAACATCTTTTGCATGAAAGATTCCAGAGCACCTTACATACTCCGCCTCCTCCTCCTCCTCCTCCTCCTCCTCATAATAATAATTAGACAATCTCTGAACTGAGTTTTACAATCTAAAAAAATAACAATGGAGAAACAGAAATACTTTAAATGAATAAATCATCAATTTCAGACTACTCTATCACTCTAAATTTGGAATAGTTCCATTATAATTCTCATACTATCTCTGATTAAGCATAAGCTGCATGGAGCAGAGGGTCCTATCTCTGATGTGACTGCTGGTGCTGGTTCTTACCTTCCCTAGGTTATCTGCATGCTTCCGATAATCTGTATCTTCAGCCTAAAAGAGAAAAGAAGCATATTAACAGTAAAGAAATTTCACTGGACCCATCCAGCTAAGGAAAGGAACATACGGACCTCTAAATTAGGTATAGCAGATCTCCGATTCCTCAGAATTCGTCATTAAAAAAATTTTTTTTTGCCTTCAGATCAGTGTTGACTCCTGGTGACTACATGGACAAGTCCATGCAGTTTTCTTGGCAGCATTTTTCAGAAGTGGTTTGCCATTGCCTTCTTCCCAGGGCTGAGAGAGGGAGTGACTGACCCCAAAACACTCAGCTGGCTTCTGTGCCTTAGGCAGGACTAGAACTCAGTCTCCCAGTTTCTACACCAAACCAGTTCTCATTAAACATTTCACATCCATGTAAAGAGAACCTCACAGCTGAAAAAAGTACAGTTGTGCACAGCTTCAAAAACATGCTTTATTCTAAACATGCCTTGAGCAAGGGGGCTTTACAAGACAATGTGTACTCTGTCCCCATCCTATTCCATCACTAAAAGGAAGCAAAACTGCCATGTTACTTTTGTTCATGTCACTCCAAGGTCCTCTTAGGGCTCCTGGAATTGCCAGATGAGATAACGAGTACCTCAGCAAAGTGAATTATGTTGCCTCCATGCTTCAGTGAGATGAATCGTACTGACTTCATAGCATGAACTGCCTGACTGTGGAAAGGACAGATACTTTACACGCTTCTAGAAACTAGCTCAGTGTAGTTCAGAAGCACAGTGTGGCCTTCTAGCTTCTGCCACAGAGACACATGGACTAAATATATTCTTAGCCCAATAGCCCATTTAGTAAACTGCTACAATTTAACACTATTGTATAAATGCCCCTGACCTAAATTAAATCTTGATCCATTTGCCAAGCAATGCAACCTGACCTCCTCTTTCCAAATCCCACCCTTATCTGATGATCCAAATAATAACATTTCTGCTGTAAGTTATTTTCTTTCCTTCCCTGTAGCACATCTGATGTGCACTGCATGCATTTCAAACAGCACTTCCCTAAGCATATACTTTTACTTTGGTTTTGGCATCTGCTGCCTAGAAGGCCTGTATCAAGCAGCAATAATCCTGGAACACATCAAAGAATGATCAGAGAGTTTACAAACTTCCCCAAGATTGATCTGAAAAACTAAAAACTATTACTGTCCTCTGTTCCAAAAGCACTCATAGATCAGTGGTTCAGAGTACTGAAGGAAACAGAGCACCTTAAAATTTTCTAAGCCACTTTTTCACTTACAATGTTGCTGTGATGGGCCTTGGTCATAAGCAACATCCGGCCAACCAGATCTGTGGTGGACACTCCCTGGGTGCGTTTACACTCCCTGCAACAAGACAAGTTTGAGATGAGATAGGAATTTTGCTAACCATTATTCACAATGTTAGTGGAGTCCTTCGCCCTACATCTTTTTACTTGTCTGAGAATATCTTGGTAGACTTTCTTTTTTCTTACCTTTTTTTTAAGTTTTGAGTTTTTAGCAAGAAAATAACCTATTTCTTTCCTTCCTAATTGTAGGTTTGATGATACAGAACACTAAACCACTCTTTCCCATGTTTCCCTCCTCAAGCTCTTCTGTTATGTTACTAATAAGTTTCATCCATTTTGGGTTAAATCATTGACAGTTTTCACATTTTCATCTGATATATACCATGGCTGAACAAGAGTTAAGGACAAAACCAGATTAATGCGTAATAGTCTAATATAGTTCTACGGCTGAAGTGCAATGGCAGAGTATTTGAATAGACCACCAGGGAACCAATATATACACATTTGAAACATATAGAGGAAAAGCAAGCCACAGGTGCAATAAAAAAAATAGCAGGGCCTTTCAGGATTTCTGAGCAGAACAACATAAATAGGGTTTTACCTATATCTCCCAGCTTTCTTCACTTCCTCGTACGTATCCTTGCCATCTGCAGTAAGTGTGATGTCATCTGTATTAAAAAAAAAACTGCTGATAAATTGGAGGAGCTGCTTAGATAGTCTAATCAGCAGATTCCTACAATATGCATTTTAATTATGGCAAACAAGTATGCAAGCAAGGCCGTCTTCTCTAACAATGAAGAAAGATTTTGCTAGTTATCCTTCTCCATCTCGAAGATAATCAGTCCAATGGATCAAGCAATGCTGTGGGAAGCTCAGGCTGCTCAGCTGCTGGAAACCTGAGTGCAATTCTGCAAGCAGTGTTGATCTCCATTTCATTTCTGTTCTCAAAAGCAAGACACACTGTACTGTTAATTAACCATATGTTTATGGCTTTATTACATTATATCACTTGTGCAACTGATGTGCAAGAAGTAGTATAGAAAATGAGGATGATGTACATTAACAAAGATAGCAAAATGATTTTACCATTTATTTTAATCAGTAAAGCAGACTCTTAGCATATATAGGTAGATAATGTGGTACATCAACTCCAGTACTCACCCCCATGTACACAGAAGTCACAGTTGTATTTATCCAGAGTTTCCAGTGTTGTGACATAAGGAGCTCCTTGAACAATTTCATCTACCCACTTGATGGCCTTCACCATTTTGTATCTTTCTTCCTGAGTAAAGACAGGGGGGCCTTTATGTTTGGATATTTCATCTGAGATTTAGAATAAAAAAAACAGAGAAGAAGAGGTGATTATCAGGCCTGCGTGTGCATCCCATGCATCCGTTAATTTCCCACAAATTCCTGCAGAAGGAAAAAGATAAAATAATCTGAGTAACCTTTAAAATTTCAATAGTAAGCTTTAATTAAGGCTCACATTTGGCTTGCCCCAGGAAGCAATCTCTGACTCTACAGTACTAAGACTATAAAGACTCTGTAGCTTTGCTCTTTCTTCTCCTGATCAGACAAGATGCTTCTGATTACCAATTGCTGAAAAGAGTACCATGACCCTTTGTTTATAAGGATTCTAGTGACATTAATTTTTAAAAAACTATTTTATGAGGCACATGTACATTCATGTTTATTTAATTATACTGCTCATTCAGAAAGAAGCTTGTATAGAGTACAGATTTTCTTGACATCAAATATGAATATTTTATGCACAAAACAAACATAAATATTGATTATTCTAGGCAAAATAACATAGCTTACTATTAGGGTTACTATCCAAGAATGCAAAATCTTCCAAACACATTGTGAATGCCAGTCTATATGCCAGACTGTCAATCCATATTTCAATGAGGAGGCATGATTTTTTGACACATAGATGCAGAAATACCCCAGACCTTCCCTATATTCTGGGGATAGAAAATCTGAATCCTTTTAAAAGACAAAGGAAGAACTGGAGGAGGAAAAAAGCTATAGACCAAGGCTGGGGAAAGGACTAGGATTCTGTCTATTTCCTCAACAGCCTCAGAATTAACTTACTAAAGTCCTCAGGAAGCAGGAAGTCCATTCAAAGGGAATATAAAATAAAATCAAGAGAACAACTGATGACAGAAGGACATAGTTTGTCAATAGTTTTCTTATTTACAGTTATCAGAAATATTTAAAGTAGACACAAGAATTCATGGTATTGAACCATGTAAGACAGAATTTGAAATGGAATTGTGTACAAATGATGAATATATAATTGCTAAAATGTATAAACTTTTATTGAAATTTGAAACAGAAGAAGAACAGGTCAAAGAAGGTATGAAAAAGTGAACTAAAAACTTTGGTTATAATATACAAATGGAACAATGAGAAAATATGTGGTTGAAAGGACTGAAATTTACATTATGTTATAATCTTAAAGAGAACTTATAAAATGATGTACTGTTGGTATATGACACCAGAAAAATTATCCAGAATGTATAAAAGTACTTCAAATTTATATTGGAAATGTGAACAACAAGAAGCGCCATTTTATCATACTTGGTGGATGTGTAAAAAAACTAGAAAATTTTGGGCTCAAATACATATAGTGATTCAGAGGATTTTAAAGATTAACGTTCAGTTGAAACCAAAACTTTTCCTCCTGGGACTGATGGATAAACAGTTAGAAAAGAGCCACGGAACATTGTTTTTATATATGATAACTGCAGCAACATTATTGTATGCACAAAGATGGGAAGATTCGGCAATACCTGCAACGGAGGAATGGTTGGTGAAGATGACAGAACTTGCTGAAATGGCTAAATTGACTGGTTTGATTAGAGAAAAGACAATATCCACATTTATCGATGACTGGAAACCCCTTATGGACTTTTTGAGTAAAAAAGAAAAAAATGAACTTATAATTTATGTTTTTGATGATTAGACAGGATAGATTATAGAAAGAAGAGAGTCATGATGTAACCTTAGAGAGAGAGGTTAAAATATAACTGCTGTGAAGAAGATTGGAAGCCACTTTTTAATATCTTTCTTGACAATATCCACATTTATCGATGACTGGAAACCCCTTATGGACTTTTTGAGTAAAAAAGAAAAAAATGAACTTATAATTTATGTTTTTGATGATTAGACAGGATAGATTATAGAAAGAAGAGAGTCATGATGTAACCTTAGAGAGAGAGGTTAAAATATAACTGCTGTGAAGAAGATTGGAAGCCACTTTTTAATATCTTTCTTTATATCTTTTTTCCTTCTTTCTATTTTTCTTCTACTTTTTTTCCTGCACTTTTAGCTTTTGCTTTTTTTCTCTTTTTCTTTCTTATTTTTCATTCTATTTTAGTTTGTATTAATTCTTATTATTGTTAAAACTTTATATATGTATATGTATATATATATATGTATATGTATATGTATATGTATATGTATATGTATATGTATATGTATAGGAAGCAGAAAATCTATATGTATATGTATATATATATATGTATATGTATATATATATATGTATATGTATATATATATATGTATATGTATATATATATATGTATATGTATATGTATATGTATATGTATATGTATATGTATATGTATAGGAAGCAGAAAATCCAGGAATAACTGAGACAGAGGGAACATTTGTTTCAGGAAAAGGTTACCTCTAAAAAGCACAGATTAAAAACATCTAGCTAGGAATGTTACATTGTTTAATCTTTCTTTTATTGTGGTGTGTTGAAATGTCCTGGTTTTTAATTTTATTCTGTGCAAGTTTGTTAATTGTATGTACTTCAGCCTTTATGCATATCCTCAATTTGTGCATGAGACAATAATTTAGAATCTTTTCTGATCTACAATTATTAATTTGAAGCTTTCAGCAACATACTTCTGTTAATTGTGGTAGAATGCTTATTTGTAGTAGACTAGTATACAGTATCTTGTGGTCTGCTGGGAGCATTACAACTTCTTATGTAAATGTTCTTTTTTAATAAACCTGCTATTTTTCCACAATCTGAACAGCTCTATAACTGATCTTCTTCACTACTGAAATCTGGCATTTTTGACATTTAAAATTGAAAAGGATTTGTATAGCTTATCTTTTCTTTCTTTAATAAAGTTTGATTTTGTTTATGTCTTATAAGATTGGTCTATTTCCTAAGAATGACAGAGCAAGCGGTGAATCCTTTTGTCACACACCTTTGAGCTTACATGGCAAGGAGGTGCAATATAGAAATTATTTAAATTATTGCATTTTTATTTATTTTTTAATATTTCACTCACTAGAAAGGCAGCACAGGTTGTAAGAGCCCTATGTTTCTTATACACTGAGATGAGGGGGTGAATGCCAGTGAGGTGCCTCTAGAAAGTAGGCTGTGGCACTGGGAATCACTAAGTTTCCACCCAAAAGCAGGGATAGGGCCAGTATGTAAACACTCATATGGTTTCAGGAAGAGAAGTACTGAGACCTCCAGCTTTCCTCTCTATGGGATCAGCTGTTGTGCTATGTATTATTTAAGTTTAATGATATAAAGACTGAGCTCACACTAGAAGATTGCTAAAAACTAAGCTGTGCAGGATTCCAAACTAAATAATTCCAAGGGAGATGAATCACACTAAACCAAAGTCAATCCAATGTGTAACCATTTGTTCTAAGATATAATGTAGTTTGTTTTGATTTGGTTTAGTGTATTGTGCATGCTCCACAATTTGAAAACTATGGTTGATGGCAGTCTTTTGCAGACTCGCAAAGCACCCCAAAAGTCATGCCACTGAAATTTGTGGCACATTAAAAACGATCAGCAATGTGATTTTACACATTGGAAAATAGGTTTAACATATCAATTTCACTTAAAAAACCCAAACTACCAAAAATGTTTAAAAAGAAAAAGGATTGAAAATTACTAACCCTAACCCTCTGATGATGTCACCATGTCAGTATCATGGTCCATGACCCTCAGCAGCTGAAAAGAAAAATGAAAATGAAAGTATGGCTCTTGGATGCAAACAGGATGCCTATTCCTGCTTCAACATTAGTGCAATGTGTGAACCCAATCAATGTGGTTTATCCAACAAACAATGGTTAAAACTCCCAGCTTAACAAGATATATGAATCCAACCACCTTCTACAATAGGAATTGGATTGGAGCATTATTGGGTATGTTGGTTTAAATACACTTAAGGTAGGGAGAAAATATCTCCCCCACCTTTTTATTTATCTTTATTCTTTTTTTCCCTTCTTCCTTAGGAGGAAGGAAATGGGGTCTTTGTGTCCTTGTCATGTTCCAGATGGGAGTCACTGATGCCATTTTTCCCCCAATTTTAGCTTTAGTCAGTTTTTCCTTTTTTCCTGCCTGATTTTAAAGAATATAATTGGCATACTTCAGTAAGATATTGGGATGAAAAGAATATTGATTATTTAGTCTTATGGGCTCAACCTGAAAGCTATTATTTGGTACTCTTAAAGTTCTGTCCTAATTATTATAGGAGTTTGGTTATTTTTTTCCAGTAGATAAGGTAGTTAGACACATTTGTATTCTACTGGGAAGAAAATTAAAGTTTGACTCCAACTCTCATGAAAAATTGACACTGTGGATTAATCCCTAGTTAAAAATGTTTGGAAAAGATTTTTAAGGGAAAATCTGGGTTGAAAATGGGATTACTAACAAGTAGTAAGCAGATAACTTCAAAACCCTTGAAGTTTTACAAAAGGAATGTAACTTACCTAGTACAACCAAATAGTAATACAGGAAGTCCTCAGTTAACTATGGCAATTGGGACCAGAATTGCCATCACTAAGTGATGCGGTCGTAAAGCAAGATGTCATGTGACAAGACTGCTTAGCGATGGTTGCTGTTGTTAAGTGAATCACTGTGGGTCGTTAAGTGAGGATGTCACATGTTCACCATTTGCAACCTCCTGCTTCCCCACTGACTTTGCTTGTCAGAAGATCGCAAAGAAGGTTGCAAATGGTGACCATATGACCACAGTATGCTGCGATGTCATAATTGTGAGCCAGGTGCTGAGCATCTGTATCGCAATCACATGACCTCAGGGACACTGTGATGGCCAGAACTCCAAGAACCGGTTCTAAGTACCTCTCATTCAGTGCCATCACAAGTTTGAATGGTCACTGAACAAGTAGTCATTAAGCGAGGGCCATCTGTATACAGAGTTAAAAACACTTTTAGTTTCATTGTTTGGCCCTGATGCCCCAGTAGCTTCTGAAATCGCAGAAGTGCTGATATACTGGAAAAAGCATTTATAGAGACCTAATCAACAATTTATTATTAGCAAATGTTAACAAAAATAAATTTGGATAATATATAAGAAATATGGAATAGAGTTGAAATAGATTTAAGTATGTTGAACACAATTTAAAAACTCATTTAATTCAGCAAAAAATAATTCAGGCTTATTGGACTCCCCCAAAGTTGTTTAAAAAAGCTTGGCTGTTACCCTTTTTTATGTAATACTTACATAAAAAGTATTATGGAACTCTAATGCACACTTTGTGCTCATGTCCACTGATAATTCCTTATTGGTTAGATACTAATACTATGCTGAACCAGGTTCTAGATAGGAAGTTAATGTTAAAAAATGTCAATGTGTTAAAGTATATTTTATAAAACTGAATTTAACAATTTATGAAGACCTCTGGATAAATTATGCCTGGAATGCTGCAAAGGTGATGACTATGTACTCCTAGAAAGATATTTATGTACCACATTCTAAATGTTGGTTCAGTGAAATATGTCAAAACTCAGCCTTTGAACTAGTTTTGTTTCAACAGAGGCAAGATCAGACCAGATGATTCCATTGATCTAGGTTTACCTTTAACTTTAAATTTTAATTATAATGATTTGTATAAATACGTAATTAAGATCTTGAATATAAAAGTAATAGACTCTCAAAATCTTGGATTCCTTTTTATTCTATTTTTAACTTTCAATTTCTTCTATATACTTCTTATTTCACGCTTTTTCAGTTTTTTTCTTCACTTAGTTTTGCTTAGGTTTTTGCTTTTATTTGTGTAGGATTTTCTATAATAGTGTTTGC